TTCTAACCTACCAGGAACTCTCCAAGCTTCTGAATCGGTTAAATGACTTTGCTGAGACATCGTACTCATGGAAACAAAGCAGTCACTGAATGCCAATCATCCTTGTCTTCATTGTCTTTTATTCAGTTGAAAGTCAAATTTCATTCGCTGCCGCTGAAGCAACATTTTTGACGTCAAACTCAGAATTAGCATACTCCACAGTTTGAAAATCAGAAAAATTTGCATTTGCGATTCTCTTCTTCCATTTTCGGCAAAAAAAATTTCGCTTTTATCTTTATTTTATATAAAACTTACAATATCCTTTAATTGTTTTGAGCAGTTTATTACATAGTAGGAAGGTTAACAATATTAGGTTTGAGGAAATGAAGAAGGAAGGTTGTCTGTATACAATTTTTTAAAAGTACATGAGAATTTTACCTTTTTTGCAGACATATTACAACAAAAGATCATAATTTCTTTAACCATTTCTCTAAATCACATGCACTTACACTGTTCAGCGACAAGATGAACAAAATAACAGCCTACAGCTCATTGGCTAATAGATATCAGATGACACGCAGTGGCATTCAATGCTCAATGGAGAACTTGAACACCATGTTTTCAGACACATATGGTCACACTCAAAAAGCAGAAGCACACCATAATTCTTCATTGAATATATGACTTTTTTCATGCAAATAATGAAGTGTTAAGCCAAGCTACGTAAAAATCATGACAAATTTTAAGAATAACAGAGGGTCAGGAGAAATATGTTGTAAATCGGGTTGGCGAGAAAACGGTAGGAAATCGGGAGTGTTGGCAAATTCCCCCTGCTCTAGAGTCATGTCTAAATTTTATGCATATTAACTCGATAAAAATTAACTAGAAATAATTACTTTTTACTGAAAAAAAAATGAGCAAGTGCTGACCAAAATCTTTAAATAAAACTTCCAAACATAAAAACATTTTTAACAATTTTTTAAAGCCCACATTAGAAAATGTAAGATGAAAAATTGCTTTGGTGGCAAATCAAGTCTCAAAACTTAATGAATATTTTTATTTCCAGCATGAAATCCTTTTAAGATACTAATGCTAGGATTAGGAATGATTAGACAAATAAATAAAAAGTTTGATTCATTTTATATAATTTAATTTTGTTTTCCAAAAAAAAAAAAAAATCTGTTATTTAATTTTTTATTCTAAATTTAAATTACTGAGCTATCCTCTTTGTTATCCCCTACAAATCTTTGCTCTAATTACTCCTAAAAGTATGCCATAATGAAATCCATAATTCTGTCCTTGCAGAGCTATTAATTTTACTCTGGACTGAGAAGCATGAAAAAAACAATATGTCTTTGTTAGCATTCAAATTCTGGACCTTCTTATAGCCTATGGACAAAGTACCAGTTATACTATAAGAGCACACACAGGGAAAGATTATAATTACTCATAATTTACCTTGTTTAATGAAAAGAAAATGGGCAGAAAGAAAAAAGACCCACTCAGCCAGATTGAGGTGATGATGAATTACTGCCCACCACATTTTTAATTGGGTGTCAATGATGTAGTGACCAGTAAGTTTTATACAGCTAGAAATATAAAAAAATCAGTGATGCCCTTGCTAGTATTCAAACTATGTATCTTCCTCCACACTCCTGTCTCTGATTTATACTGCTAAGAATGATAGGGTCGATAAAATTAATTATTTGCATTCTACCCTGTATTTCGCGATCTTGGTCAAGAAGCTCTATCACGAAGAATCAGGTGCCGCAATGTCAAAATAGTCAGAAGTGGCACCATTTTTTCAGAAAATTGGTATTTTGAGCCAAAATGCTCTCTGCCTCATAAACAGACTGACTGTCTACATAGGGGAAGCCTCGAAACTCCCAAGAGTGCAAAATGTCTCGGACCTTACATGGCCAACTACAAAGGTTATGTTAAATTTTCCAAAAATAGGACTCAACAGCAAAAAAGAGAAAACTTGTTCAAGCCTGAAATGACTTTTGCACAAGCATTTAAAAACTCGACTCATAATCATTACCCAAGCAATGAAAAAAATTTTGGCTAAGACTGCACAAACCAAAATCAATCAGACTAAAATCTCTATGGAAAGAAGTCCCCATACTAGCAGTGATAAACATGAACTTTCTGAAATCTAAAAATTGTTAAGGAAGTAAATCAGCTCTTCAGAAAAAAATGTCATAGCCAAACATATCTCTGTCTATAAAAAATATCCACAACTTAGCTCAGCTAAGGATTCTATACATAAAATGTTTCTTTTCTCCCTTTTGTTTCTTTCTGAAACAGCCGAATTAAGTCAATTCAAAAATAAAATGTCAGACTCCAGTTCAATTTCACCACATACTATAATTATTCTGCTCGTAACCCCCTTAAATAACACCTTTGTAACTTTTTTATCCACTCCATGATCCTGCCACATTATTCATATCCCTGGTATTTCTTTACTTTTCCCATTGCCTAAACTGTTTGTATGCTAAACCTTCCTCACAGCCAATCCTGAATCTCCAAATACTCACATGGTTAGATACCATATCCCATTCCTCAGGAACTTGCCTCTAGCTCTGAAGCCACTCATTTGAACTTTGATCATTGGATATCCCTCCTGCCTCACTTGTCATGAACTGATGTTACTGAGGAAATCATACTCTCATTTGTCAATTAATAAGACAAAATTTATATTGTTTATAAAAAACTTTTGAAATTACAGCTAATTATCTGCTACTCATTTGTATCTTTTAAGGTGAAAAAAGGTGAGAGGCCATGTCATTTGCATGCATGATAAACTGTAAGGTCAGGAAAAGATTAAAATTATCAGTTCAAGGTTCCATGAATTTTTGCACTGAAAAGGTTTAATGGAATAATAAGAAACACAGCAAGATTTTCGATGGTTTTTGTTAGTTGATATCTGAGCAGGGGGGGGGGAACTGAATTTGTTTAGGGAGGTGCAAGTGCACTTCCTTGCACCCAGCTGGCTAAGCCCATATTTATGAGAATTATTTTAACCACAATGAACATAAAATTAACAATGCATATAATTGCACTAATTGCACAGATAAACTTGATAATGAACATAAAATTAACAATGCATATAATTGCACAGATAAACTTGATAATGAACCAATTACAGATTTGAAGTGAATTTATCTAATTAATGTTAACAGCAAAATTAAATTTAGTATTTATATGTCAAATATTATTTACATCTTCACAAAATACTTTACAAATCTCTATGATGGATTAAAGAAATTCAGGTCAAACAATATTTAATTACCAAATGTTTGCTGAAAATTAGTTTGGGAAAAATTATATTTGACTAATTTAAATTTCCTTTAGAAATGGCAAGAGAGTTGCTTTACTTTTTTCATCACAATTTTATAGTGTTTAGAGATAACAAGGGAGTTGCCTTAATCTTTTTATTAAACTCACTTTAATGGTATTTCCTTTTCCTTCAGAATTTAATGATCAATAATTCCTTCAAAACTGCATTTGAAAATAAGTCTCCCAGTTTTACCAGCAGAGTTGGCAGCTCTGGGTAATGAATCAAGTGAAATAACCGTTAATACTTGAAAGAGAATTCTTTATGAATTTTAAGGTGGTGTTGTCTGCTGCTAAAAAGTATGTGCTATTTTCGAATATAGAATACATACAATTTTGTCTTTGTAAGGCATATAGGAAGTGAATTTGGTACTCCATAAAAAGGCAAACATACAGATTCTTCAAACTCGGTTTACTATGATGTACCAAGTAAAAATTACAAAGCTATTAATCAGCTTATAAAAATATGCTTTGAAAATAAGTCACTTGTCACAGTTCATGGATGATAATGCATCAAAATATTATGACACAAAATATTCACTATGACATATACTTGAATCAGTACAATACACATCAAATACCAAATCTATTTACAAATTAAAACCAATTGTTTCAATATATTCCACGCGAAGCAAGAAATTTTTCTAATGTAAATACATTTTAAATGAGAAATTTAATTGTAGCATGTTTATTTCCAAGCAAAAATGAAAGGATTGAAAATTACCTATTGTGTTGACCATAACTTTAAACTTTAGTTGTAAAGAGCTGACTTCTGATTATGAAACTATACAGTGAAGTATTTTAACTATCCAAAAAAATTTATTCAAATGTACTTGCAAAGTGAATTCTTGCCCCTCCGCTTAATACTTCGTTAACACGTTGAATGGCACGCACATTTTACGTTGTTTGCCTATGATGCCAACATGAATTTTTTATTATTCGATGCATACTATGTTGAAATATTATCTACAGAAGATAAGGTGAGTTATGTAATCGTGTTTAATGCATTTTTCCTGGTGGGGGTCACTGCTCACCCCCCGAGGGACTGCAGACCTTTTTTGCGATTTATTATTTAAATTTTTTGCGATCTATTACTCTTCAAAATATTATAGTAACAATGGCTATTATTTATAAATTTATTTAGCCCACCTGCGGCCGAGCGGTAAAGTCGCTGAACACTGGTAGTTCGGTCCGAGGTTCGAATCCCGCGAACGGGCTGGCTGCATGGGCATTTTGTGGTTTTCCTCACGTCTAACGTGTATACGAGCCAGTTTCCCTTAGAAAGTCCTCCACGAAGTTACCCCTCCCCTTAGGCAGATAGGGCCTAGTGTGCTTTGCCATAATTAAATAAACCAAACCAACCAATTTATAAATTTATTTGTATCAATATTTACTCTAATTATATATTTTTACAGTTGGTTGCGCCACCGGTCGCCCCCATGATGCTGTAGCCAAGTCGAGTGCCGGCTACCAGTGACCTCCATGGCAGTCAACGTGTTAATTTTAAACACCAAAAGAGTTGCCAATATCTTAATTCTTTTTTTACTTGAGTTATTGACAGTAAGTATGACCTTAACACAGAAAAAGTAAATGAAAGCTAACCTTCAAAAAACAGCAAAATTTGAATAACATGAACAACATATAGCAAACAATTTTAAAAAAGGAAAAATTCAATGGAATATTACCTCAGATTCAAGCACAGTTTCAGAATTTCCATAATCTATAAAAAATACTTCATATCCACTTCCAGGCACATGGGCTTTGACTTGAGCTCTATACCATGCTTCATCCTCAGAAAATTTTGCCATACAATAACTACCAACAGTTAATGCAGATAGATCAGATGATACTGAATTTTTCTGTGAGAACACTCCATCAATGTCACTCATGAGTTTCTCTAGCATATCGGATTCATCAAGTGACTGACACCAAAATTTACTGGGGCTTTCAATGTATGAAACAATGACTGATATCAACTGGCCAGGAACAAAAGCTTGCTCCCTTTCTGGCAAAGTACTTGCAGCTTTAGATTTATATGGAATAGTTGTCTTGTTATTCTCAACTGATATCTGTTCACTTTCAGAAATACCTTCATCAAATACAGCTAGCCTATCTTTTACAAGTCTCTGAGCTACATTTTCCACATTGCATGTTAAATCAATATAATAATAATCGTCATCTTTTTCAATAAATTTACATTCAGCATTTCCTTCAAAATATTTACCCATATTTTCATTACAAGGCCACGCTCTTCCAGGTGGTTTAATACCTCTGATCCGACATCTAACAGCTTGAGTAGGAAGCAATGTGAAATCTTGCAAAATGCAGCGAATTTTTTTCCTGTCTACAGTTTCACAATTGCCATAATCAACATAAAATATCACAATAGTTGTCTTTTCTACTTTCTTTATTTCTGCTCGATACCATGCAGAGTCTAAGAAAAATTGGGCAACACAAATCATTCCGGGATGTGGTCGATCTACTAAAGCTTCTGCTTCATTTACTTTATTATAATAATCCTGTAAATTACGCATCATAGTCTCAAATTCTTTGCTATAGCACTTCAGCTGACAAAATATTTCTCCTGGGTTTAAACCATATGTTACTTTAACAGGCTCTGTTGAGCCAATTTTTATGTCAAGAGATTTATATGTTAAATTACTTGAAGCTGCATGTGAATTTAAAACTAAAATTTTACTGGAATCTGCCAGTTGCCCATGACCTAAATCTACAAACTCCTTATTTAAAACATCTTCCTGTAATTTACCAATACTAACCAGATTAACAGAATATACACCATGGTCATCCTGTTCAACAAACTGGGCAACGAATGATTTATCTAAAGTCATTGTTTGGAAGGCTTCAATGTCAGCATCACTCCAAGCTCCTGTTTTAGGTATAATATTGAATGACTTACATCGTATAGCTTGCGGTGGTAAAGAAAGCAATTCAGTTTTCAGCATTTTAATTTTAGAGCTAGGAACTATATCAGTATTACCATAGTCTACAAAATAAATATCACATGAATTTGAATTTATTTTTTTGATCTGTCCTCGATACCATACACCATCTTCTTGAAAAATAGCACAACAGGGAGAATTAAGAGCAAATGTTGAAAGTTTTAAATCATTATCATTTAAAAATGTATACATATCTTCAATATCTTTCATGAGTACTAGAAGCTTAGGACTATCTTCTTCAATTTGACAAAAAAATTCGCTGGGACTTACTACGTGAGATACATAAACATTTCTGTATGCATTAGGAGGAATTTCAATAACATCATAATTCTGAAATACTTTAGACTCCTTTGTTTTCACTATGTTTTCTGATTCCCGGGGCATCTGATTTCTGATAACCTGCTCCTTTTTATACGATTGTTTCATGTCTAATCTTGGTTGGATTTCATCTCCTTCATTGATTTTAGATTGGTATTTACTTCCCTTTCTAGTTCTGTTATCTTGGAAGCCACCTATACCTGGAAAAATTTTATAAAATGAGAACAGATATTTAAATAATAAAAACAGAATGTTAATGGTTATACTTCTGCAAAGAAATCTCTTAAATGTATAAACATTATGTCATTTTAACACTTTGTCATCTTATTCCAGACTAAAGCAATAATTTGCTAGCCAGTCTAGTAAGGTCTGAAGGAAATTGACTTAAACTACTTCAAAACTACTTAAGCTTCTAGATAGGATAACTATGCACAAGTTGCACCACCACTTTTAAGTCATACCTTTTAAATATTAGACATTATATCATGTCTCTTCTGGCAAAAGGAGTTACCCCTTGTCAACAACAATGTTCTACATCGTGTTCATCTTCCCTGTAATATTCGTAACAAAGACCACAGAGAGAATATGATTTAGTGCCTAAAATCCAAAGGACTTATGTGCTGGAGTTGACAAGAAAATGAAAAAAAATATCATTGTGGTTACTGTCGTAATTGTATAAATAAATTAATTACAAAAAATAAAGTTTTATTGTAACTAAAATACTTTAAATGTAGTACGACTTAAGCTACAGACAGTGTAACTTAAGAATACTGGTTGTCCAAGTTGTATTAAGTTTGTGTTCATAAATTTTATTAATTTTATACAAGAGAATGGATTGTATGAAATTTTACTGTAATAAATATCAGCAACGGCAACACAAACTATTATTACAACACATAGTTTCTACATTTTCCCATAGATCCTACGATTTATGCCTTATCTTTCTTAGTGGGTATGACTTAACCTACAGTAGAACCCTACAATGTTACTATTCATTTTGGCCCTTTAGTAACAGTGAGAAGCAGCTCAATGACTCTGAATGTCAGGAAGACAATAAGAGATGAAAGATGAGGGCCAACAAAAAGCCAAAGCCAGTGAAAGTAACAAAGATTACTGGGGTAAACTGTCAGAAACGTTTTGAAACCATAAACAGCACAGGAGAAGCACATTCATGCCTTGGGATTTATGGTAAATTTGAACATTTGATACCATCTGATTTACTGGAAAGAGATGAGAACAGGAGAATGAATTATGCATTTCAAACCTTGCTCAGCAGAAGGTATTTGAAGTTTAGTGTTAACCGATTAATTCTTGCTGGCATCAGCTCTGGCAAATTAACTGTCAACAATTTTAAAGAATTTCTATCAGATGAAATGAAACCCAGAAATTTATACAAATTTCAAAAGATGATTTTTGAAGAAGGATTTTCAGATATGGAGAAATCATTAAGAATTAATTGAGAATGATTTAATTCACTGAAATGACAAATAATTGTGAAATGAAAAATGCAAAGCTGAATAATCTTATAACATTAGCTCATGGTGAAAGCATTGACAGGAAAAATAAAGAACCTTATAAGAAATTTTAAAAAAGCACAGGAACTCTGATTTTGTAATGGAGATTAAATTAAATGAAGACCAAAAACATGTCATGAGACATACTGAAAACTTTTGCACTCCTTATCACAGAACTTAAAATGAGTTGCATCAGACTTTGTCCCAAGCAAAAATCAGTTTAAGAAAATAATTGTATCCCGTACCTATTTATTATGCAGTAATGGAAATTCTTTCAATTAACCCTTCCTTTTCGTTGTTCAATCTAAAAAATATTTAGGTTTATTTAAATTATAAAAATTGCATCTGAAAAAGTTCAGTGAATGGTCTCAGAAAACAAAGAAAATAAGAGTTACAAACAAAATATTTTTACTGGCTTTCAAAGTAATCACCATTAACTACAAAACAATTCTCACATTAGTTGTAAAGCTGTTGGAAACTGTCAGCAAACACATCTTGTGGAATCGCTCGAAGCAACGTGGTCATGCATTATTGGATATCTGTAATGTCTGTGAAGCGTAAAGCCTTTCATGGTTAATTTAAAGCGGAGAAATAAAAAGCGTCTGCCAGCATCAAATCTCGAGAATAAGGAAGGTGTCAAAGTACACTCACCATGTGCTGTGCAAGCAGATTGAGCACACAGATTACAATATGCGGTCGGGCACTGCCATGGACGAAATTTCACTGTTCACTTTGGTTCAGTTTTAGCTAAACCCACTGGTAAAGTGACCACATTTTCATTGAGACAAAGCGGGACAAATGGAATGAAATGAGAATTGTAATTTAGTTACGCAAGCAGACCAATAATTCAAAAGAATTTATTTTATTGTATACATTCATATATTTGTCTACAAATATACAAAAATATATTTATTATTAACTATTGGTAACTATAGAAATATTTGTAAAAACTATAATTTGAGTATTATGTTTTTTAATTAATTTAAAATTTTATTAAAAAATTATGATTTTCTTTCACGGTCATATTTTTTACCCGAGTGAATACTTTGCAATAGATTCGGATCATTTATTAAAATGTCATGAAATTTCTCTTATGAATTGGTCAAATTATATTTTATGCTTGATACAGATTTTAAAGTTTTAATGTTCAACTGCATTTTTTCAATAGTCCATATTTTATTGATACTAGGAAAACCACATTCTGTTGCTGCATTTGTTCCTGGAAGGGACAGCACGTGTTCTACAATTTTCAAAATATTTTCATAAGGAATATTATTGTTTTAAATGAAGGAATAATTCTGTCCATTTTTGTGTGTTTTCACATTTGCAGACAACCAACGTTTAATCTTTTTTTCAGTAACGTATCCTTTTACCAATGACACCTCATCAAAAGATCATTTTCGCAAATATTATTTTTCGGAAAATGGTTACTAATATATTGAAAAGATTTTTCCACACATTCCCATAAAATCTCCTTTTTTAATGTCACCCAATGAAAATTTTTAATATCCTCGAATTGAACTGTCCGTTCTTCAAGATATTCCAAGCAGTTATTATAAAAATTTGACTTCTTTCAGAAAGCCAGGTCGTTTAATGGCACCTTGTTCTTCCAACCTATTGATGTCCTTCCGAATAACTAAAGTAACGTTATCGTTATCAACTCTTTCTAGAAATTTTGTTTTTAAATTATTGATTTCATTTGACACTTCCGTAATTGAAATTTTGTTCCCTTCAATAATTTTCATAGCATTGTGGAATAATGTAGCTCGGTTGTGGATGAACTAAACCCAAATTTGTGATGTTTCATTTTCAGAAAAGAGCTGCAATATTCTTGTACATTTATCTTGCGATAAAAAGTATGATTTTAATGGTTCGTATATTTTTAAAATATTTTCTACAGCTGGTAAAAGAGCTAGCCATTGTGTTTTGCTGTAACCAACAATTCTTCTTATATTCGATTTCTGCGCTTTCAGAAAAATCCTTCAAACTTTCAACACGCACAGTATGTATAAAAATACGAATAAATTTTTGCAATAATATTTTGAAAATCCCCTGGAGGTAAGTCAGATGCTGTTTGAATAGTACTGTGTAGAATGTGTGCTGCAGAACCTACTCCAATAATTTTTTTGTTCAAATGTTCGTTAAGTTTCGTAAAAACGTTATTGATGCTCTTCCAGCTTTTCCACCAAAATTTGCGTTAGTGCTATCCTTATAATAGGCAATAATTTTATTGTTCAAATTACTTTTTTTAAAAATAGTACTTGTTGAATCAAAAATTATTTATGAAGCTTCACCCAGCAATGAAACAAAATCTAATATTCTAATTTTAATTCCTGTTTCTGGATCAAAAAGTCTAACAATTGTGGAAAATAATTTTAAATCTTTGCGCTTGGGACCATCATAATATATAGCTATGTATTTATCTAATTCTTTCTGCAATTGTGAAAACGAATAGAGTGAAAAAACATTACAAATAATTGCTTCTACTTTTGTCCTTGCACATGCAAATTTTTTGTCGTACAATGTTTTGATCATTTGCAACGTACAATCAGTTGATCTGACACTTTGATTGTGGTTTATGGTGTGGAAAGCAAATAGCCCTTCATCTAATACTAGCTGTTCCTCCATTAATAATACATATTTCTTGACGAGACGTAACGAAAGTGATAGAACACCACCGAGTAAATCTAACTCATTACATTGCCTAATTTAGTTTACTCTGCATCCATTTTATGCGTTTTTTTTTACTTATGTATTTTTTATTTCTTTATATTTACTATAATAATTAATAAATAATAGGTAATATATTTCAACAATACATTTAAAATAAGAAATGCAGATGCTTTCTAAAAAGCGGGACATTTTAAAAAATCGGCGGGCCGCTGGACAGTCCTCCAAAAATCGGAACGTGTGGTCACTTTACCCACTGGATGCATTGCAACAGCCATTTCAAAATGCCCTGGTAAACTTCTATGTTGACAGTTTGGCCTTCAAGTAGAAATTCATGACAGATCAAGCTCTTGTTGTTGAAAAAGGTGATTACCATAGTCTTAATCTTGAATTTTGTCAGCTGACTTTTTTTGGGGAGATGAGGAAGATGACGAACACCATGCCATTGACTGTCACTTGGTCTCCAGATCATACTGTTACGAAATGGACAGGCGCGGTGAGATGGATTCCCCGCAAAGCAGTTTTAGGGTTGCCATAAAATGGCAAGAGAAGGCAGAGTTGCCATATTTAGCAAGAAATCACCCATTTGGCGACATTTGGCGATATTCCATGGACGGTTGGAGAACCTTCTGGAACGAATTCTTACCGGTTTAGTCCAGAATGTTCTCGAACACAAGCCGAAAGTTATATAAACCCTGCTGGTTCGCAGTCAGTGTGTGCTTTATCGAGGGAGTGTGTGTCTCTCATCGAGAGTGTGTGTGCCTCGTCTAGCGAGTCAATCTCTGCGTCGATCGAGTTGACAGCTGGGCAGCGAGTGCCGAGTGAGTCGTCGAGTCCACCGAAAGAGTCTGTTAGTGTATCGCGGTTAGTGCATCGTCGAGAGAGCATGTTGAGCTCCAGGAAAGACTGAACCGAAGATCAGGAGCTGTGCTCGTGTGTCGTCGAGAGCATCGCGAGTTGTAGCATGGACAGTCTCGAGAGTACGTGGAGTTCCGAGAACGACCAAGCAGAGTCGG